AGAGGATTCATTGTTTATTGATTCTAATCTGCATATCTCACCTCTTGCTTATTGTGAAATTGTTTTTCATGGCTGCTAAGCGACATTTCTAACCCGTGTCCACTCCGCTGCTGTGTTCTGAAAAAGCATCAATCCAGATCACAATTCAAATAAACCACTTTAGGTTAACAATCCCACCAAAACACCAGCAGCAGCAGCAGTAAGTGGTTCTTCCTCCATCTAGTGCAGCAGATTTATCGTTTCTCACCTGTTGTGTAATCTGTGGGGAGACTTGCTGGTTAAAGCACTTTGTGCCGCGCTCTAAATTCACCGTAAGAGTCCGACAGACCCAACGCTCTCAAAGCTTTTTGTTTTCCCCTGTTAGTGAAATAGGAAAGCAGTAAAATATCTGAAACCACCTTCGAGTAATTAAATTCGCTTTAGTTTATATCTGACCGCGTTTCCAATAGTCTCTCCAGAAAGTTTGGCGTCAAGCAAACATCTTCACACTCTCCTATCTTCAATCTGGCACCTATTATATCTTCCAGCAGCCTCATGCCCATCTAAATACCATCACTTTGTTTGAGCAAAGCCCAAGGTGGTATTAACAAAAGATCAGCGCCGCGAGTGATGGAAGATAAACAGAAGGCAGGTTGTGCGTCTCCCGCAGGCCCGAGCACGGTGTCGACGTTTGGACTGAGAATAAGGAGGGGAGGAGGGAGGCTCGGCTCGACCCAGAGAGGAGGCTCTTTGTGCGGGGACGCATTGGCAGAGCGGGGCCAAGCTGGATCTATTGAACGGCAGCGCTTTCCCATGTGGCAGCAGCACGAACCCGCAGAACAAAAGGAGTCACAAACATTCCTCTGTTCGCCTCCACATCTCCTCCTGCGTCTGACCACGCAGTAGATAAATAACACGGGTTTCAGATGATGAGCGACGTAGCTTTTACTGTAAAGGAGGTCGACACAGACGAGTGAGAAAACGCTCGGGGTGATAGAAAGTGAAGAGGGAAGCGGAGGGAAGGAGGAAATGCAAATGAGCTGCCGATTATGTAACACAGACCCGCCAAGAAAGCAGAGGGGGGGAGACAAAAAAAAAAGAGAGCAAGAAATGATGAAACTAAAAGGGGTAGCAGTTCAGATTACATCCCCCGAATGTGAGTTTGATGATTATATTAAGGAACGTACGGACAATATCAAGTAAAACACATTCAAATGTCTCACGGGGCAGTTGCGCAGGTCTCCCATGTTGCTGGCGTTGCGGAGCAGCTCTCCAAACATGTCCGGTGTTGGTTTCTCTCTGCACTCGAGCATCCTCACTGCTTGGTTACTGCAGCATCAAACACAAAAAAACAACACAGTGAGAGGATGCATCCAAGAAAGCTTTAGTAAGAAGAAAACAACCCAAATTTAACTTTAAACTCGTCTGTTTTCTCGCTCCGGATGCTTTGTGATGATCAACAAACTGTCGGATTCAAAAGGTTCTCGACGAATGTTCAGCCAGAAACCAAACAAACAAAGTCGAGTTCGCGCAACGTCTACGCCGACTCTGTCCTGCGGGGCTTTTCTCTCATCTGCCTTAATAAAGAAAACAACAAAAAGCAAAAAAGAAAAGAAGAACAAATCTAGATTATACAGCCAGGAAGGGGGGAAAAAAAGCTGTCAGCAAACGTCTTAATCCTGTCGGGCTGATGGCGACCTCTGACCCTCCTGGTGCCATCGAGGTAAAAGACGGTTTGGTGCTAAAGAGGAAGCTACGATCAACCTGAAAAAGCTTCACTACTTGTGGAAGAAAACTGCCTTTTTTTGTGGAGACAATATCCTTCAGTGAGGCTTAAAGCAATGACACTTTGGTACTAAGCTGCGTTTATCCCTTTTAAGTACAATTGTCCTCTGAAGGACAAACTCAAATATACGTTATTATTCTCTGTGAATACAAAATGAATCAGCGTCGGGCTCCGCACCATGTTTGGGATTACACGTGCAAAGCAGCAGCGTTGTTTAGTTTTGTTTTTTCCTGGTTTCTTCTATTAGCCCGAAACGAACCCTCCTTTGTCCTCCGACCTCTGGCTCGCCCTCTGCTCCAGACATCAGGAAACGGGAAAACACGACCGTTGACTTGAACCAGATGTTTGTCTTCTCGCTGCCCTCTGATTATCTTACTCATGTTGACTTTTTGCATATTTGGCTACGTGGTCGGCAAACAACGAGCTCCACTAAAGGGGTAAAAATAACTTGGCAGCGCTAGCAGGCACAAACACAGCGCGGTGGCACCTCCATGCCCCCACAACTACCCTGACGTAGTGTGTTTATTTGTACTTTTGCCCCTTTTCATTCATGCCTCGATTTCCTCTGCTGTGTTTCCAAAAAGAATAAAAAACTGGGGGTATATATCCTCTTATTTCCTTCTCGTTCGGTCTTTCCGGCCCACTGTTCCACTTATAGATTTATGTCGCCCCCTGGGTCTCCTGAATCAAACCCCTGATTGATTACTTCCCCCCGTTCCTTATTTCATTGACTGGGTTTTTATGTAACAGCACACGGTTTCCCCTCCGACCGCCTCACGCGTGTGGATTTACCTGCTTTCTAACATCCACCTTTACGAGGTAAAGGGGAGGCTTTATGCGCAAGCTCACCTGCTCTTGCATATGCATGACCGTCCACGTGCTCGTGTGTGTGTGTGTGTGTGTGTGTGTGCACGTTCATGTGTGTGATTGTGCTTCAGCGTTCAGCAGGGACCCGTGCAGGGAAGCAGAGAACACGCTGTACCTTCCTTTACTGCCACCCAGCCACAGCTTGCTGCCAGATTTACTGCAGTGTGTGTGTGTGTGTGTGTGAGTGTGTGATGTGTGTGTAGGTGTGTGTCTGGTCTTACCAGAGGGATGTAGTGGAGATGTAATGAACCATCTGAATGAAAGGCAGGGGGTCTGATGTGGCTCCACAGCTGTTACACACACACTGCAAAACGACAAGAAACGCACCGTGAGACTCGTCGCGGGACGTCGCGAGCTTTTCTTTTGTTGCCGTCGTTGTTGTTGTTGCATGCAGCAGTCGGCCGGAGGGAAGACGTCCTACCTGTTCGAACAGAGTCATGGCAAACTTCTGGTGCGGGATGCAGTGCTTGGCCGTGCAGATGTCCTCTCGGCTCTCGGCGCTGATGTGGAAGTGGATGCGCATCAGGAGGTTCTCCTGACGGCGGCAGAGACATCGGTTAACGTGTGTGTGTGCGCTTGTTTACGTTACATACATACAGTATACAGTGTGTGTGTGTGTGTGTGGATGTGTGTGTGTGTGGATGTGTGTGTGTGTGTGAGCGTTCCTCTCTGTTGGTGCTTCTTGTTAATCTGACCGTGGGAGCAGCATCTATATTTCATAAGAAGCCAACGGATTCCCTGACTGAACACATTTACTGCCAATCGATCAGACAGCGCCTCGCAGGCACACACACATACGAAACACACACAAACACACACAAACACACACACACACTGGGGAGGTCTTTAAGGCAAGAAAGAAAGAAAGAAAGACTGAAGGGAGGACGAGGACATTACAGAGCGGCTAAAAGCATCTTTATCATCAGATAAGAATAAACATGTTTGTGTCTGAGGCACATAAAACTCTATTTTAAGAGCTTCTATCCTGAAATATTACACTTTTAATTCTTGTAAATGTCACATTAGATGTTCTCAAACCTGATCAGTCGCCCATTTTTTTAAAAAAACAACTCATTTTAGCCTCTTAATGATTCATTAATGGGTTCAAAATGACACTGAGCCCTACTTTACAGCATAAAGTCAATCCGGCCACATATAGATGCAGCCTGGCTCTTCTTTTAACTACATTTCTCGAGCAAAACCTCTACGAGCTTCTTTCTCTGTGCATAAAACACACAAAAACCAAGAGATTGAAGCTCAATCTGCAACTTAAAAGTGTCGCTCAATTAGTTATGTTTAACGTCTGGTCAATGAGATGAAAAAAAGTTAGTCAAATATTAAATTTATGTTGGTGGAAGCAGCAAATTCTCACAGTTTGAGAAACGCCTACATGATAGATGTTGGTCTAATCAAATCTTTACTGTCATTTAAAGGACTGGAAGCGAGTTGCGACGTTTGCAGAAACTGCCGCAAAGATGCGTCGGGGGTGAATAATGTGCAGTTTAAACGGTGTGCTCTGGTAAATATAGACTCTCAGGTCACTGTGTTGCTTTCTTTCTATCGGATGTAGCGGTGGGGGGAAGGAAGAACAAGGAATCCCTCACAACAGCAGCAGCAGCCTCACAAGTCGAGCATTAGACTAAAAGAAAAAAGATTTCTTTGAAGCCGCTGCCTCCCCTGAAGCTTCCTGACTGCAGTGGAGACGTGGGAGTTCCTCAGACTCTCCGTCAGACCGGCCCGTGGGCATCCCCCCCCGCCTCGCCTCGACCGTTTGAGCGTGTCTCAGACTCACAAAGCACTCGGCGGCGTCGTCCATGATGCCCAGCTGGAAGCGTTGCTCGTCCTGGAAGGTCTTGGCCAGGGCGCTGCGCAGGGCATCGGACGGCAGGACGCGCTCGCTGCTGAACTGGAACTGAGCGAAGATACTCTGCAGACAGAAACGTATAGAAACCCATGAATTTTTAATCGCACTGCTGCAAATAAACGCTCGTCTTGAAAGTTCCCTGCATTGTCTGAGTGGGTTTGTTTTTATTGTGGGTGTTTTCACAGAGTGGAACAAAAAAAAAAGCACAGCTGTCCTGTAGATGTTCCGTCAAATGACCCATAAAACAAAACCAGCGAAACTAACTCGTCGGCTTGTCAGGAACCAACAAACCCTTCCGACCGGACGACAACAAACGCGGCGGTCGAGGCTCGCAGCGCAGCCGGCCTCGATATCACAGCGTATCAATAATAGATGGCGTTTGTAGTGCACTTTTCTCCGACAAAAACAGCTCCGAGAGTGCTTTGTAGCGGCAAAAGAGGAACTGTTGCAGGAGGGCTCGGCGAGGAAGCTAGGCCACTGAAGTGTGTTTCGAGGGCAACGTTCGGAGTGTGAAAAGGAGGAGCAGGGGTTTCAGAGAGGACTGTTTACATCCTGATCCCCACGTTCAGCCGGTTACCTGCTCCTTTGTTTTATTTCCTGTCTTTAGGAGATCATCTCGACTGAAACCTGAATCTCATTCAGTCGAATAAATATCAAACTGTCTCCTGAACGTGGTCACAACATGCAAATTAATACTTTTTTTCCCCTCTGTGATTCTATTAAATATTATCTGTAATTTTAAAAAAATGGGATTTTTTTTTTTTTTTTAAACAGATGTTTTTTCCCTAAACTACATCAAAAATCTGGAAAATAATTATATTTTTGTTGATTTAAATACAATTTTAAAAAGGTAACTTTGGAGTAAAACATTGCAAAAGAGTGAAATATCATTTGTAAAAATAACTAATAAATAATATCGATATTTGAACGCGACACAACCTGTTTTTTTAAGGTTAAGATGTAAATAAAAAATCAATAAAATAACACTTTAAAGTTTACAATTTTTCAATACTTGATACACCTTAATACATGAATAATTTATTTTAATTTATTTTAATATTCTTTTTTTTTCCTATTATTATTTTATTTCCTTTTTTTTGGTCGTTATTAATTTTGTTGATGATGCGAATGTGGTTCCCCTGTTCTTTATTCTTAAAGAAAACATCAAATATCTCTGCAAGAATATTTTTTTTGCTGATTTAAACACACTTAAAACGACCAAACAATGTTAAAGAATGAATTTCAGAACCTCAGACGTATTTCCTAAAGAGTTCTGCTCCTCCAGGTGAGGAGTCATTCATCTAAACTATGTAGTAATATGAAGTTAAATTACTATTTTTCTCCACATTATACGAGACAAATAATAATCAGCACTTACACCTAAAGTTTCTTGACATCTTGAAGCAACAAATTAGACAAATTCCACCAAATGAGAAGCAGTAAAAAACCACAAACGCTCAAAATTTGCTGCTTAATTTTAAAAGCAATAACTGCAAAATACATCCGGCTGACAGAGTGGTGCTACTTTTTTATATACATATGATCAGAACTTAGTGGAAACTCTGCATAAAGCAACATTCAGATTTTGCATTTCCCCCAAAAATCATGGATAAAATCAAGCAAACAGCTGGATTATGAGCGCTTTGATGCAGACGCAGTTCTAAACAGCAGATTAAAGTTATTAAAATGACACATCTGGAGGAGTTTTGTGCACTTTTTGTCTTATTACTGTTGTAAATAGTGGCTGCAGAAATAGAAGCAGTGCGAGTAGAGAATAGCAAACAGCAGAACCAGACAGCAGTTACTGGTTAATTTGAGCTTCAGATGCAGTGATTGAAGTCTAAAAATGGCTCAAACCAGCGTTTGGGTTCATGCAGAGGCAGGGAGAGCCAGTTCTGAGCGAGGCCGGCCGGCCGGACGGAGCACAGATAAAAGCACGGACGACTCTTCTCCAGATTGCCAACGGATAAAAATGACCCAATTTTTTGTTGGTAAGAAGAAAAAAAAAAGAGGAAACAACTATTTTTGACCAGCACTAAAACAGCCCAAAACGGAAATAAACACACGGTGGCTCCGGAGCTGTGGTTGGTGCTCGGCTGGTTCGGCGTCCCAGCGGTAATTCAATCACTGATTAGACGGCTGAGCTGCAAACCAGCAGGTGCTCTGTGTCCCGGGGACCGAGGAGGAGAAAAAAAATATTAAGTGAAAGATATTCCAACACAGTCACAGTTCATCAGTGCCCATCTGTCGTCTGTTTGTGTCCACGCTGGTTCCATTTTTTGTTTGGCAGACAGAAGTGTAAAATCAATAGCCTCGGCACAAATGTAAATACGTCTTTGACACCAGCAAGTATTCCCATTTTGTAGGTGTTTTTCCATCAAATATTGATTAACCCGCTGAACCCCAAAACCCTCCGGCGGCTCTGAGAGGCACACTGTCCGCACAAAATAGCCAAAATTGCACCGTTTATCCGAGCCAGGAGCCGTGGAAACCGAGAGGACGGTTGGATTTTGGACGTCCTGGTGGTTCTTGAACTAATCATCAGTGGTGATATTGTTTATAAATCGCTGTATTGTATATGTGTCCTTTACTAATTTGCTAAATATGAACTGTTTTCTCCAACTAGAAGTTAAAAAAATCTGCACTGCTTGATGCAACGAGCGACTCGGGTGCAACCAACAATCCCAAGACTAGAACCTTTCGGAAGAACTGCAGGTTAAAGCAAATTAAAAATATAAATAAAGAGTCAGCATTGGATTTTTCCAGTGTGTCTGACATCTTAGGTTCCAAGATATCAAGATGTTGAACTCTCATTTTTACTTTTCTTTATGAATCATGGCATTATTAATGCCCCACTGCACAGAGGACATGTTTGAGTCCTTCTAGTCGTGGTGGTGTTGCTTCCATAGAGCTGCAGGACTTGAAAAATGAACCCACAGTGAGTAAAAATGCAACAGCAGCAAGAAAAACAGCCAGAAACTTTCCATGCAGGTAAAGTTTAAATGATAAATGTGTGAAAAACTAAATGTTTGCTCACTTATATTGTATAATCAGCTTTGTATACGGTCACTGCAGTCAGATGTAAAGTAAAAAAAAAGGACTGTAACTGACATAAAAGGTCATTTGGGTCCATTTAGACCTGATGTAGTGAACATATGGACGAGCAGGTGAAGCTTCAGGGCTGATCTGAGAACTGTACGATAACGTTTCTACAACATCAGAATCAACTTTTGACTCCTAAAATAAACAAGAGCGGAGCTGAAGCCGACAATTATGACAATCAGTTAATTGCTTGAGTCATTTTTTTAAAAATCCAAATCAATCTTAAGCAGCTTTATGGTGATGGAATGATTTCTTCTGCTCCTCGTCTGACGTTTGGTTTGAACAAAACCACCAGTTTTATGAAAATGCGGCTTTTTCACCATGTGGTAAACTAAACAAACAAAAAAAAAGTTCTCGCCCTAAATACGAGGTTTGACTTTATAAAAACCTGAAATTAATGACAAAACAATAAACGCTGCAACGTCCAGATGCTGCAGGTTTGTGATTAAGATGAAGAACAGAGTTGATGCTGCAGCAGACCCGTACGGCTTAACGTCAGCTAGCAGTGACTGTGGACTGTTGGGAGGTGATTTACCCTCATAATGATGGTCGGTTCTGTGCAGGAGGCGTTTTTATTAGCGTGATCACACCTGTAATAAACAGGTTATTACTGGTAACTAGCAGCAGCTCAGTAACAAGTTAACTTTACTTTAATCAACTTGAAGTGAATGATCGCTTTCCATCCATTTTCCACCTCCGTCCTCGTGACTTCAGCTCAATTAATTACAAGATTAGAGATTATTTTATTTTATTTGCTGCAGAAAAGCGCTGAAGATTCTGACACCATGACTGATTCCAGGTTTCATCATTCAGATGAGTTTTCCATCATTATTATTAATGTAGTACGAAATTGCATTATACACAGAATTAAAGGCGTCTTAAAAAGTCATAAATGTAACTGAGTGAACTTTGCAAAAACTCTTCAGTTTCCAAAGCAAATGAGTAACAAATATACATATATATATATATATATATATATATAAGCGCTGGAGACAGAGACTCGATAATCCGACCCTTAACAATCCAAAACCTTGCTATCCGACAGGTTTTTATGAAAACTAGAAGGACCTCATGAAAAACAGCCTTAACATACCGACAGCCTTGGATTCCGACTCTGACATGTTTATGTCACCAATCAGGATAACGGCGTATTATCTGACTGAACAATGCGACAGTCATGACTCAATAATCCGACACTAAATGTAAAACCTTCTTTTATGTCGGATTGTCAAGACGGAGGTCGAAATACAAGGAGGGCTTGATGCTGGAAGGCTCATTAGTTGTTAATATTCATTGTTATAGTTGTTATAATAACTAGTGTGTTGTTAGAACACTACACATCGCTGGATTTCATGCATAACTTACTGGTGCTATTGTGCACATTCCGGCCACTTCCACCCCGGGGCAGCGCTCTGACGGGGTGGAAGTGTCCAGAACACACAGGCAGTACTTGGCTGCTGATGCTAGTTTAGTTAGCGCTCACACTTCTGTTTCCACCATCGGTGGCGGCGGGGGAGTGGCAGATACGCTCCACCGTTACCATCCATGTTTACTTCCATAAACACTGAGCACGCTCGCTGCGTGTGACGTCGTCGTGTCCTCTTCTGCGCATGCGGGACACTTTTGGGTCGTATGAAGTTCACACAGCAGATCACATACAAGTCGTGTTTAACTGGAAATGTGAAGGAAGTCACAAAGAAATCCTCATTGAGCATCAAGTCCTGCAGTGTGAACGTAGCCAATCTGTGGGATTGTTCAGTCAGATAATACGCCGTCATCCTGATTGGTGACATTAAATGTCATGTCGGAGTCAGAATCCAAGGCTGTCGCTATGTTAAGGCTGTTTTTATGGGTTCTGATCGTTTTTCCTAAAAACCTGTCGGATAGCAGGTTTAGGATTGTTAAGGGTCAATTTTTGAGTTCCTGTTTTATTTCAAAAACTGAGCTGTTAAACCCTGTAG